CTCCCATTTAAATTTTGTAATTTTAAAGGTAAAAGGGGAAAATAATGGTGAAAAAAATAATGGACAATAATTCAGAAACAGAATACATAACTGTGTATTTAAATACTTTGCCCAGACAACAATTGTAACATTGAAATAATAACAGAATTCAACGTAAGTAAATGTAACTCCTTGTGACACAATTTTATTTTTGCACAATCAAAAACGGACCTAATCTTCGAGTTGGTCAAACTTGATACTTTGGAACAGAAGGACGAAAAGGAAATAGTCTGGCCCTAAACATGACATTGATACAACATTTGATAGTATGAAAATTAATGTTGGAATTCCAAAGATTGAATTTTCCGTGACAAACCTAAGGGAAACATAGGAAATTGTAGAATAACTAATATGTTGAACTATGGCTGAACAGATTTTATAAAACTATACATCAGATTCTTTGGGAAATAAACAACTTAAAAACAGAAGATGAAATGAGAGCAAATGAAAATATCATGTACTCTAATGGCACCTATTGATGCTCCAGATTCCAAGGGCCATTACCTGAAGTAATTAAGGGGAAAATAGTTTGAAGAAAATTTCACAAAATTTTATATGTTAAATGGGTACAAGTACATGAGGCCCCTAGTTCCAAACCCGGCAATCTCCAATGTCTTGTCTAAAACTTGTGCGATCATATTAATTTTCTGTGAGGACCAATCAAAACGTCCAGCTGTATTTAAAATTTTCCAAATTTTCTCGCTTAATAACAGAAAATTCACGAGAAAACATAAACATGTGGATTTCCTTGTTCTTTCACTTTAAAAATTATAATGATCGCACAATTTGTAGAAAAGTCAATGGAGATTGCCGCTTTTGGAACTAGACGCATCACATGTAAATTTCAGATAAAAAATTTCGACTGAAAACTTATAGTCTATAGGAATGATCCTCTTTTGTCTTTTCTTGTCTTTCCATTATGTTTTCTTTGTTACCATAAGATAGATATCTCAACAACCACTTACTACAAATTAAATCAGTATTTCCTAGTTTTCCTGAGGAGAAAACCAAAACCTTAAGCGGATGTTGCTTCAAAAGCTTTCAGAGTAAAAATACTTCAACAATGATTCAAGGCAATTCTAATAGGAAAACTGCCATTGCTTCAAGGGCTTCTTTGAGTCATCAAATTTGTGATGTCCAGAGGAAGCCTGACTTAAAAAGTTAAATGCATATGATTTTTTTGAAGTTTGAAAGCAAGATTACAGGTATATTGAGTTTTGAATTTGCTACAATAGGGTTAATAAGATTACAAACTTTAAACCTATGACTGAGACAATATCAGAGACGAGTATTTGCTATGTTTAGACTGGAAACTAAATTAAAAATAAGTAAATATCTATCCAACCATCATCCTTACATTGCAGGTTATGAGAGAAATGGACCACTTGCGCTGTTTTGAGAGGGGACTTGATTGATCCCAATATAACTGCTGTGCTAGAGAAGAACGCCACATGAGCACTGCCGTGCTAAGGAAGAACGCCGTATGAACCTTCAGGCATTGCCAAATTTCCTTTGATAAAACTCGACTTTCCCGACAAACTTATGAATACTTTTCTCCCAAATTATCAGATAATTTTGTTCGCAATTTCACCTAAAGTTCCTGAAAATTTCAGGAGAAAATATTCATAAATTTCCTCAAAAATAAACATTTTATCGAAGGACATTTAGCAACTCTCGAATTTTCATACGGCGTTCTTCCTTAGCACGGCAGAGCATTCGAATGTTGCCAAATTTCCTCTCAAAAGAGATTTATTTTTGAAGAAAGTTGTGAATATTTTCTCTTGGTTTTTTTATTTTTTCTACACTCTGGATCAAATCGCAGAAAGAATTCTTTGAAAAACTTGGCAAAAAGTCTACTAATTTTCCAGAAAATTTACTATATGCCTGAGGAAATTTGGCATCCTTCTGAAAGCTCATATAGCGTTTTTCCTTAGAAAGGCAGATTATTTTGTTGGATTTTATTCAAACGTTATTTCAGTGAGCACAAATTCAGAATACTTTGATGCTATCAGATAGCTTTAATTCAGATTTTCACTTAAAATACCCTGAGCTTTGGCAAATTTGAGGGATTCAAGGTTAGTGGCATGTGGAAAAGAGTAATCCTAAAAAATCATCGTAAAATTCAGAAAGATCAGCACTGGAGTCGTACATTATTTTCGATTTTTATGGTGAAAAAACATTTTTAGACATTCTGCAATGGATGAACTAAAATAATGACAACTAGAATGAGAATTGACAAAAAACGATTAACAACTCAAAATGTCAGAACATACTTTTGAGAGAAATTAAACTTTTGAATGACACGAGCACACCAACATGGAAAGAATATACAAATTTATCAACTATTGGCAAGAATACAATGGAATCGTCTTTCACATTAAAACAAGATTGAGCAGCTAGAAACAGAGATCTCTGCCATCATGTTCATATTAGGGATTAGAAAAGGAGCCAGCATATCTCAAACCATGAGAGAGGAAAAAACTCTCTTTTTTTTCTTTCTTTCAAAAACTGAGCTACAAACATTTTCAAAATTTGTGATACATTACTGTAATCAAGTGTAACAACCTATGATGGTACCCCCCCCCCCCCCCCCCCCAACATGAAATGTTGTCCTTTCTTGTAGTTAGAAACTTGAAATTTCTGGCATGAGATGAATTCTCCTATGTTGATGCTTCATAGCTATCACAGCTTTAAGAGCTCTTTTTGAGCTTCCAAGTTACTTTCAGGCAAAATTAGTGGTACTATGTTGCTTCTCATAAAAATTTCACACAGGATGAATTAATTAAAAGTTAAATTAATTCTCAAATCTTGAAGGAAATCTACTGTTACCACTGTACGCTCTTCATTTACCTCCTGTTCAAAAGCTACTGAATTTGCTTTGAGCTTGTGACAAATTCCATTGATAGAAAAAATTTGACTAAGTAAAATGATGAAATATTAAAATCTTTCATATCAGTTCACAAATCTAGAATGCTACAATGCTTTCAGATCAAGAAAAATACCTAACATATGTTCGTAAAAAAATTGTCATGCAAATCGACCTTCGAAAGATATATAAAAAAATAGAGACTATAAAAAAATAATATTTTTTTACACATTTACAATAATAAAATATACAACCACAATATATTTTTCCATGATAAATAGATACATGATTCAGAGAATAAAATGAATTATTTACAGCACAGTCTTGGTACGCATTGCACTTGAAGGGAAAAGAAACCAAGAAAATTAAATTAATCATATTATTAAATTTTTGGTAGATTTTAGAGACAAAGATAATAATAATGTAATCAATTCCTGAATTAGAGGGATTAGAACATCGCTAAAATTCCATTGAAATGTGAATTTGAATAGCATATATTTCATACTTTCTTTTCTGTCATATTGAGTGAAAATTTTTGTCTTTTTTAAATACATAGATTCTAATGATTCCTTGAAAAAACGCAACTTTGGAGAGGGTTTACATAATCACTAACTTCAATGGCACTGAAGTACCTAAACATATCTGTGCTCATTTCTGAACAATTTTTAAGTAGTTTTATTAAAATTATCCCAACAATTCAGTAAGGCATTAAGACTCGTATTCATCACAGTTGCCTCTCATTCACATTAAATTATCTAGGTAATTAAAAAATGAAATAAAAAAATAAAAAATAAAAATACATTGAAGGGATGAATAAGATTAACAATTTCTAGAAATAAAGAACAGAAATTATAAATTATAAACTTGCTGTCGATTTAGAGCTATTGGACAAATTATTTGATAAAAGATGTAAATACTTGATGATAACATCTTGAGGCAAAATAATTTTGGAGAAAGAATCAATAATAGACAATGACTGCACCGTAGAATTGATATTGCTTAAATAATAAAATTCCGATGCACCAAAACTTTTAGGATGGAGATCACAAAAACATTTCATTTATGATGGCTCTCTGGAGAGGATACATGGTGATCTAGCCTTAAATGAATAAACTACTGTAAAATTGTAAATTTCTTCCGTTTTTTCATTTTTTTTTCACAAATTTACAGATGTATTATGGGCCTACCTTTTAGATGAGGCCTAGGCATTGCTAGGAATTTTCACCACTCAGTTGAACGGAGAATTGATGGCAGAAGAGCAAAACCATATACCTTTGCTTACAACATTCACTTCCTGTAATACTTTATTTTTCCTTTGGAATATTAATTAATGTAATTTCTTGAGAACTTCCTTGTTTTTCCTATTCTGTTAGCAGAATATTCATTATAAATTTCAAACTGTGAAGTAGGCTTGTACCTCTTAGAAAAATAAAATTGGAGCAGCAATTTTGAAACACAGCGATTAAAAAAGATGGTTTCCTACTTTGGCTATTGATAAAAAAAGAAGCAATGGAATACTAGACAAGGTACCAATTTCAGCATTCTGATACATGTTTAAACTAAAATTTCACGTAAAATATGACGCGCATAACGAAAATTACCGAAATCAACTCCTACCAAAGATATTTAATGATTCTTGATGCGTAAATTCTAACCACCCGCTCATGAAAACTCAATGTTCTGCGTGATTCATATCGTGCGTTAAACGTTATCATGACAGTCTCTGCTATGTAAAAATCTGGCAACCTCAATCTTGATGCTTTGGCTCAGCTGTAGCAAATTGCTTATGGTTTGAACAATACATGGTGGGAAATGAACATTACTCGATTGAGAAGCTTGTTGAAACCATTGTAGTGTGCGATTTGACTCTTGTAGAGCTTTGAGTTTCTTGTCAGCGGGCAGTTCAAATTCCTCGTAACCAATGTGAAATAAAAACATTAATATCTTTGTTTGAAGTTATTTTCATTAGTTTTCGTTGCGCAAATCATGCGCTACGTGAAATTCTGGTTAAGAAACATGTATCAGAATGCTTAAATTCATACCTTGTCTAGTGGTTCATTGTGATATTAAATGTTAGGGTATCCTTGCTTTGAAATGCTGTAATGAATTTGAGGTGCAATGATAATGATATCAGCCCTGCCGCTTTCTCAGCTTTGAAGTAAGGATTGGCAGGTACATAACATAAATTTGTGAGATTCATGAACGGATGATTATTTAAGGGGAGTCATGAGTTATTTTTGTAAAAAAAAAATATTAGAGGGTTTCCCCCTACTCGAATTCTACATATCCTTAGCTATAATTCAATACAAACTTTTTTTTAAAATATCATCATTACTGAAAGAGGTATGCAACATTTTGTGATGCAGTGATACAATCTTACCGTATGTTGAAAACTTCCAACAGCTTTTTCTCAAAACAACATTTTTGACCTTAATGCACACTTTCCTCAGGATCTACTGAATAGATTTCTAAAATCTTTCTTATGTTTGTTCCTAACCTTTTTATCTAACTGCAGATGAGACAGTTTTTCCTTAATATTCTTCAAACATTTTTTAAAAAAAAATTATGAAAATTCAATTTTCAAAATTTTTACAAATCAACTCGTGTAAAATTAGAAAAAAAACTAAAAAAGTTTTGAAATCCATTGAGTGGAACCTCAGAAAGGTATGCCTTAGCATCAGTAAATTTTTCATCGCAAAGATAGGGACTTATGACTCCCCCTCAAGGCAGTGAAAAATAAGATTCTCGATGTAGAATGAAAGTTGCCTGGAAGAATTGACAGTATTTGTCCTCATTTGTTAGTTCTAAAAGTTATTCTTTCCTGCAGTATTATCTAGTTTTACTTAGTTACACCTCCGAAAAAATACTTCCTGAGCTTTTGCTCAGCATTATCATGCATGCTTACCGTTTTCAAGGGTGCATTTTAAAAGATCATATGCACCATGTGACATGAGCTTTGAGCACCAATTGAAAGAGAGAAAAAAATAAAAAAAAAACGATAAGAAAAAACTGCAAAATATAAAAAAAACAAAGCCTACTCACTGAATAGCAAAATCGTTCATTGGGTATGATTCCATATGAAAAATATGAGGAAGGAGAGAGAAGTTTCGGACCTGAAAATGAAAAGGAAAAAAAAAAGATTACAAACATCGAATGACATTTTTACTGGTAATGTGACATTCCACAAATATTTAAGGCTGAAACCGAAACAACTCAACTTCAAACATAAGATCCCAGACCTAATGACCTTGATTTTCAAATATTTTAAATAAAATTCTTTAAGGTTCCCCTAAAATGTATACTTTGTTGTTTCGAACCATCCAAATATATTTGTTATAAAGTTTTTGATGATAAAAAAGAACTTGCAATAACTCTAATGAGATAGTAGTTTAAAAGAGGTTAGTATTTCTTCTTGTTGATGACTACTGCATTCTTATAAATCTTCCTGCGGTGTTGATAGTGTTAATTTGATGAGACTCAGTTTAGATAAAACAAAAAAAATTAACAGAGAAATTCGCAAATCTCTTGACAAACTGCTGGAAAGCCTATTCGTGCAATGAAGAAAAACCATTCATAATGCTTCTGGGCTAAGGAAAAACGCCGGATAAACATTCGAATGTTGTTACTTAAATTTCCCCTGATGAAATACAATTTGGAAGAAAGTCAGGCTTATTTTTTCTTGAAAGTTTCAGATATTTTAGACTGTTTTTCCAACAAAGTCTGAAAAATTGTTTAAGCATTTTTTACAACTTTCCCAATAAAGTTATATTTATTACAGGAAATTTGACAAACCCGGTCCTTAGCTTGGAGGAATAGCTCAAGAGCTAAAAGTAAAATAACTCACCTAACTTGCTTCACAGCATATCTGATGATGATGAATTACTGGGAAGATAATTTTCTAAAATGTCATTGAATGACTGTTTGCCTACATTCATCCGCATCATTGATATTGATTTGAAAAGTTTGTCTGCAGAGAAATCGTCAGGTAATTTTGTCAGGTATTTGGCTCCTGTGATGAAATCCATGGTGAGTAAAGTATCTTGACTTGTATGGAGTATACCTAAGGAAATATAAAGCATGTCAGAAGGTTCCTGAATAATGAATAATTATCGCAATGAGATCAATAATTCATACTTTTGATTCAAACTAACACTTTGACAATGAAATCACAAAAATGTGTATTTACCTTGCAATAGACCCATTCTGCCGTGCTAAGGAAAAATGCTGTATGAACATTGGAATGTTGCCAAGTTTTCTCTCAAAATACACCCACTTTTGAGGAAAGTTATGAATATTTACCGTTGAAACTTTCAGACACTTTAGATCAAATAATAAGCAAAATTTTTTGAAAACCGGAGAAAAAATACTCAGAAATTTCCCCCAAATTCGTGATTAGTCAAAGGAAATTCGGCAATATCCGAAGGCTCATACAGCGTTTTTCCTAAAATACGGTGCCATTGAAATACAACAGTGTTGTTTCAACCTCATTGTTGCCATGCTTAAAATGTACCTTGCAATCGGATCTTCGTCTCTAAAAACTTGGTGCAGCCTTGAGTTCTCCAACCTCCTTGCTCTTTACAAAGTATGATGCTAGGGTATCATAAAGCTTTTAGGCTTTTAAAAATTACTTTCACAGGTCAAATGGTTCTAAAGATTTGGGGATGGAGTTAGAACACCACAAACAAAAAACTGAAACTTATCAAATTGGAAAATTGTTCTGCTGTCTGACCTCAGATAGCTCTGCCAAGTATAGGAGGAAAAACTAAAAATAAACAGGAATATTTAAATTTTGAAACAAAGTTTACTCTCTGGTACAGTTTTCACTCTTTAATCATCTATATAATCACGCTCACTTGCATTATTATTTGTTGGAGCTCAGGCTTACTTCGATCAGGTTTTATTATTAGCAGGTGATAAAGTAGAGTGGAATTTTAAAAATGGCTTACCAAGAGCAGTTCTGAACAGAAACTCTTCTCCATCTCGCAAGAAAACATCCCATATTCTTGATGCGAGGTCTAGAGACATTGCTTTTGAGAAAACAGTGTATACCCAATCTAATAAGTAAAAGTCTGCGCTGAGACCAATATTAATGAAGTGCTCATGAAGTTTGGGCAAATTTTCACTTAGAAGATCATTGTAAGCAGAATAGTAGGCTTGCATCTGCAAAATTAGAGAGATAAGTCAGACAGTTGGTTCATAAACAATTTGAGAGAGGAACATTTGTGAGAAAAGAGGCATATGGTTATTTTTTAGGGTCAACTGGCTCAAGAGCATTTCTCAGGTAGAAAAATTGATTAGCTTGTTATCCATAAAATATATAGATGCTGCATACTGTCTTTACTGGTAAATATAAAAACCATTACTGTGTAATACTATGATATAAAAAAATATATGTACATTATACTGTTTCAAATATGAGGGACATTCACTTTTTATGTACTTCAAAATTGCCTTTTGTTATATTTCTGAGTTTTATCATTCATCATTGGAGATGGTACCTGTGTTGCAATCATTCAATACTGCTTTTCAATAATATGTACTTAATAAAAAAGCAATTCAAAGTGATAATTTTTTTTGTTTATTCTTTTCTCTTTCAACCATCCCCGATTATGCAGATATCATGCTACTTATACACTTATACTAACAGACCTTTCTATTTTCAACACTCCTTCTAAAGGTCTTTCAATTTTTGTATGCGACCTAACATGACCTGCCAGTTGAGCGGCCATAAGTTTCTGTACATCTGGTACATTGTGTCTCTATTTACTAAGAAACCAGATTAGTTTCTTTGACTGACGATAAGAATATCATTCATTGGCACATTAAAGTAAACTGCCTGCAAGACTGGTGTAACAAAGTTTGAAACGTACCACGAGTTGATCAAGTTGAAAAAATGCAGTATGACACGGCCTATTGAGCAAGTTTGCAAAACAGATGAAAGCATCAGCAGCGTCCATGTTGAGAATGAGGACAGCAGCAATGAAAGACATTCCTTGGGCATAACCTAGATCTGGACGGTAGCAAACGTACGCTCCCAAAAGACTAAACAACATTTTATAATACGGGCCACCCTGAGAACAGTACATGATTGCAAATAATTACCAACAAATTAAATCAATTGAAAATCAAACAGAATTTTAGTCCAAGGACGTAAGTCAAGAAAGATGAGACTTCAAAAAAAACAACATTACAAAATCTGAAGTCCAAATAATCTATTTTCTTCACACATGTCACACCTCAAACGTTTGATTGAGATTGTGCCTTCCATCCTCCAAAGAAATTATGGTACTCTAAAATGTGATCACCTGTTTTGTTATGTGTTTTTTTGGGTTGCTTCATTCTCAGAAATATTTTAGCTCTAGTAATCTTCAAATTGCTTGCGATGAGACTTCCTTCCCCGGAGAGAAACTCAAACATTTCTTGATATTTAAGTAAAAGACAATTTTTAATAACGTCACGCTAAAAGTAAACTTCACAGTTGACACACAGTGCAGGGTTGGTTAGGTCACTGCTGTAGTTTGAACTACTGAATGAACTGTGTTACTGTGTGATCATTTTGGCAAACAGCGTTGAAATATACATTTTCCTGTAGCCTTTTTTGCGCAATTTTTCAGTAGGCAAAGTTTTCTAGTAACAAATACCATTAAAAGCAACTGCTCGCAGGCTAAATCCTTCCTAGTTAGACTGATCTACCAAAATCGAAAAATTTAAAATTTACAATCCTTGCAACACAGTCTCAGATTTCAATCTTTATGGTTTAAAATATGAGCCAATAAATAAAAATACCTCTTGAAAGATACATAAGTGAGGAAAAGTTCTGCTGATATCCAGAGTAATCAATTCAACACTAGATTCATGATCGCACCTTGACAGTGGATTCATATTACAACGATCATTTGCAGTCTTCAATTTTTCTTGAGCTCTAAAAGAAAAAAATTGATAAAAAATTAAAAGCACATACACAAAAAAAAACTATTTTGGGACAAGGTGAGGATCAGAGAACTATTAACAAACTTTTAGCGCGGAATCTGAGAATGCTATCCATTTGATCCTACCGCAAAAAAATTTTCCGGAAGACCGGACAAATCTCAGAAAACTGGTGCATGCCAGGAAATAACAGATGTTATTTTATGGATCAAGCAGTCAAGAGTACAGGGAAATTAACCAATGGTACGCTTAAGAACTTTCTCATTTTCCAGATAAGAAAGTTTCTTGAGTCAAACAAAAAAAATCAACCCATTCAACCAATTTGAGTCTAGTCCAGTTATTTCGGGTCTAAAAATGAGGCTACAATGTTTTGGACTGGGTACCTACAGATCTAGCTATTAATCCTTATTCCTCCTTTTAAATTGTTTTTTCTCTGAGGTCTTTGATGTTATTCTCTCTTATTTATTCATCTTATTCACTTATTTAAATTAAATTGGTCTTTAATTTTTTCATTGTTATTACTATAATATTCAGTAGCTTGAGCTACAAATTGCTCACCAGATGGCGCAAGTTTACTTGCCGCCAGTGACCGCTTGCCTAAGTCTCGGAATGGTTTTCACAACCTCTCTGAGCTTGGTAGCAGAAAATTCAGGAGGCTGCTCTGCATTGAGGATGGGTCCAACTAGACACGAAACGCGTCTGCACTTGCCTTCCTATATGGTCGTTACTAGTGTTGCACCAAACGGCATATCCCTTTCAGGGAAAATTGTGCGCATATGAGCTGTTTCCCTCTGTATCGAGATTTCCAGTTTTCTGGATTTTTTAACGCACGTTGGCTAAAAAATTCCAACTTACTAGCTTGAGCTGTTGTAGTTTGACTTTTTGACTGTCATATTGTTACTTTGTTACCTCTTAAGACATGCAGTCCATACTTTTATCGCTATCGTGTTTTTCTCATTGATATTATGGCAAATGATTTTCATACTCACTTTTCCGCATAAATATCATACATTTGATGAGTTATGCCTAGTTGATTCCCAATTGCTAGACACCAGACACGGCCTCTTATACAAGGAGGAATGCCCTGCCACCATAACTGCTGTGCTTTCTTTGTGTTGCACCTGGAATGAATTATAGGGTTGGAGTGTAAAATTTGAATACAATGATTTTTTCATAAGTAAAAATAAATTGGCAGTTCAATGACTCAAAAATTAGAAATATGCAATCTTCATTAATCATTTTGGAAAATGGACAATCATTCGAAAAAAAAAAAATTTAAATTTAATGAGAGCTAATTCATTTGACTAAAGTAAATAATAAAGGTGAATTCTTGACTATGAATTCTGCAAGCTTAAGAATGAGGAGAGTTTTTAGTCTCACTTTTATTGAAAGGCCCTTATCCCAAGATTTTTGTCCTTCATTTTGCTCTTTGTACATCCTACGATACTGCCAAGCTAAGGAAGAACGCTGTATGTACATTTGAGAGTTGCCAGATTTTCTCTGATAAAGTGTTTATTGTGGATGGAAGTTACGCATATTTTTCCTGGAAATTTTCAGATATTTTAGATTAAACTACGAACAATATTGTCTGAAAAATTGGGAAAAAAATATTCATAACTTATCCAATAAATTTGTGTTTTATCGCAGGAATCTTAGCAACGTCTGAAGGCTAATACAGCACAGCGTTCTTCTTTTACACAGCAGAATGCATAGATAGGAAGTTTCTGCACCCCTGGCTGTCATCACCACTTTGATACATTGAATATTATAGCCATCATCAGTGCTATTTCGGAAAATGCCGAAGGTCAGTCTTTAGCTTAATTATTCAGAAGTGTTCATACTGAAAATTATACATCAAAGCCTGGAAATGAGTTCAAAAGTATTGTTTCAAATGTTTGACAATTTTTATTGTATCAATAACTTTGGTTGATTGGTGATGGTACTTGTGACTTCCGAGAGATGCTTTTTGGAAAGATAATCGTTAAACATTAATCAAGAGACTGAAATGTCAGTTTTCAAAGAATAAGCTACCAAAAGGTGAAAATTTAAAACTAATCAATTGTACTCAAGATGCATTGCCCTGAAGCAAAAAGTCCATCTAAAAAATTTGCAAAGTACTAGGGCTTCGGATGTGTTCAAATGTCATCTAATTTTATTCTCTTTCACCAGGCGCTGATATTTTTTTAAGCTCTTTCAATTGTTTCTTAGGTTGGATCCTTTACTTACTCACAGTCGGTCAATACTTACGAAGAAGATGAAAACACTAAAACATGGTCCAAATACTAGAAGTAACAGGATGGATTTACATGGTTAGAACTTACATTTGATTCCAATTTGGAAGGATTTCTTGCGTCCAAAAGCGAGTCGCAGAAGCCAACTCATCCTCCGCCTTCAACTGAGCCTCCAACTGTTTTTTCCTGTCTTTTGCCTCTTTGAGCTCTGTAATAGATAGTTATTTCAAAATAAAAATAGATAAAATAATATGACTTTCGGTTACAGACTGTTTGGGTTTTCAATTAGAAAGGTACTGAAAACTCAATTCTAAGATAGTGAACTAGGTAGACAGTGAGATTTTTTAATGAGGGGGATGGGGGAGGGAGAACAAAATTCTTGATTTTGTCATTTCGTCCATGTCTGTTGGAAGAATGCGTGTTTCCGTTTGCAGCATTGCTGTCACATTAACTTTTTAGATAAAAAAATACTCAATGTTATTTCTTGCAAACTTACTTAGTTACTACACCTCTGTAATTTTTCCCAACACCCTGGGTTTTTGCAAAGGTCAATGATCAAAATTTTGATATATTTTTGGATGTGTGCAAAAGTTGCTCTCTAGGTAGGTACAAGAATTGAAGAACTGAAAACTTTTGTAGGTACAAAAAAAATATATACTTATAAATAAAAAAAAAAAAAACGTTCAGCCTCCACAACTTTTAGGTACTGCCTTTTCACAATTTGGTTGCAACCACGCAGACAAGAACAATTAGCACCCTTGCTAAAGCATTTAGTGACAGGAAATTGAGGTGATTTCACAATTTTTCCATTGATAAATACTTTTGAAAAGGGTAGGTATTAAAATAATTTAATTTTGCCTTAATTTGGACTTAAGCACGTACCTTTTTTCTTGGCTGCTTGGATCATTTGCTCGTACTCCAATTTATGTTTTAGCTGTTCTGAGGGTGATTTGGCCGGTAAATTCGCTGGTCGATCTAATTGGATAAGGGCTGAACTACTGGCAACAATATTTTCATGACTCCGACTGCCTTGGGCAACATTTGGACTATTTTGAGTACTTACAGACGAATTAGATGCAAGACTAATACTGTCAACATTTGCCCATTCAAAACTTGTCACAGTTTTAGATGGTTTCCTGCCAAATATTTTCCATAAACTTGAGTCATCATTACTGTTGATTGATGCTTCGTCACCATCCTTCTCCGATTTCCAAGAAAAAACCCCTCGCTTGAAAAAGCTAGTTAGCGTCTTGTGTTTCGGTTTGGAGTCTCCTTGATCATCTGATGCTATGCTGCAGCCACTTATGGAGCAGGAGTCTTCACAGTCGAGTAAATTATGAGAGGACTGGTCGTCGTTCGTCAAGAGTGATGAGTCATTTTCTAACGCAGACAAGAGACCAGTGTTGGTTGCTGAAGTGCTGAGAGAATTCTCGACATTGGACCAAGAGATAGTTTCATTGTCGCAATGACTCTTCAAATCAATTTCTTCTAGGTTATCCAGATTTGAGATCGATACTTCTCTCTTGTGCAAGTCAATTTTATTGGGTGGTTTAAAGTCATTACTATTTATGTAATGTAGCTGGCGAGTTTTAGGGCTATATGCAAGCGGGATAGTTTCAAGGGCCTCAGACAACAAGACCGCACCATTTGTTTTCCTTGCGGACAAGTCAAGTGAAGATTGCGAATCATTACTTAGACATTTATTCTTGCCGTTTTGATTGATGTTATTCACATCATGGCGCATTATGATTGGGCTGTCAGGGCTGACAGCACAATCATGTCCGTTCAACAGGTCTGGCCTTTCTACATCTTCGACGGTCCTAGTCTCGGCATTCAAACACTGGCTATTTCTAGCATTCTTTTGATGCCCATTGTACAGACTAAATTGAGCCATTTCATGATGAAGTACTCTAGACTTCCCAATGATTAAGGCAATTGTTGCAGGACACCTTCCTGAGCACTGTCTTCATTGTAAACGGTCAGCGAGGTAGGTAGGTGTGGCCACAAAAAGGAGTACAACCTTGACTCGGGTCTGAGAGCCTGAATCTCCTTGAGACAAGAAGTGAGTCGAGCAGAAATTTTTCAACGCTTCACGAAAATGAAAAGGAGCAATCTTCGAAAGAAAGGACGAAAAAAACTCAGACCAGATATTGATAACACAAACTATTGAAATCGACTGCGCAGAAAATTGAGAAAATATGTGCACGCTGATGAAAACACTGGCGGAATAGACTTTCGCGAACGGTCACTTTCCTCTCATTTTATTAAGCGAAGTTCATAGATGAAATAAACTTTATTTTTTTAACAGAAAGACAGAACTCGATAAATTCCACTAAAAGATGAAACGAAAATATTATGATGCTACTTTCCATCAACCATCACAGAGCTGTCATCATCTCCACTCACCACTCATCATGTTTTGAGGTTAGAAAGTTTGAATTTGTGAATTTGTGATTCGTTATCATTATGGCATGGCCTAACGAGTGCACGTGCATACTTTAATACTTTTACAATTAATCTTTTTACTTTTTTAAGTTGTTGGAGTGTTTCTTAAAGTAAATAGTCCACTGCACATTATCACCCATTTATCTTCAAAACTTCCGAAAATGGGGAAGAAAAACAAAGTAACTCTGAACGAGCACAATGTAACCGATGTAAGTACTTAATTACCTCCACAGGAACTAGCTTCTAAATTTAGATTTCATCAGAGTCGCCATGCATTAAAACGCCACTGAATTCAATCGTCGAATGAGGTATTCACAGCCTACATGTTCTACATATATCAGTATAGAGTCATTATCTCAGTGGGATAGCTGGCGTCACTTTTAGCGTTTTCCAGGTCCCTACTTCCCCGAGACTTCTGTGTGGTCACTTTTTTGATACATGGGTACCCGGCCATCCGATGTAAACCAAGAAGATACGAATTACCACTTAGTCCACACCGCCATCTTGCATCAAAAAAGTGACTGGAGCTGGGCAGCGTACACTGGGCTCGGAACTCGTCGAGCAGAACATGACGCCAGCTCTCCTATCTACAGTATTTCTCTATGTATATAAGCTGTGGGGCATTCCTAGCCTCCTGTTTGCTAAGAGGGTGAAGCAAACTGCATTTATTGACACGTCGACTAACGGCAGTATCGTGGGTTGTGTTTTTTGAGATGTATCGATACAAATCGACTACTTATATCGGTAAGTTTGACCAATTCGGTTATCCAAAGTCCTAACTAACGATAAAACGTAAGGAGCTCTGGCTTTTTCCAAAATAAATTGTATACGTAAGTGTCCCACAAAGAGCTGGAACCCTTCCCCTCTCCCTCTTACAGCATTTCTAGTCGCGACACACACTGGTCTCAGAAGTAAGCACTTGGTCGAACAACCTTATAAAGTGACTTCATTGCCAGTCCAGTACATCTATGTCTTAATAATGTGGGTTGGGGGTTTATCTCAACTTGTTTCTCACTCAGGTACATCAGACATGTAAAGAAATGGAAATGTATTTATGCTTACTGTAAGCTCTCGCCTATGGGGGATGAGAAGTGGTCGTTGGGATGGATTAAAGAGTCTACCTAAATGACCCATGTAATGCTTGAAGTAGCCACCTGCCCATGTTATTAGAACTGGGAAGAAAAGAAGAGACAAATGTCACATCCAAAAATTGCACCATTCAACAGATATTTACATGCTAACCAATGGGCCAACTGATGATTGATGCATCCAGACTGACGTGACTTTTATCTCTTTTTTTCTTTCCCCAGTCCTACCAACTTTACTTAGGCTATGATGGTCACCTTACTGTAATATTTCTCTGTGTGTTTCAGACGGCGGATGATTTCGAGGATCTCTCTTCAGACATGAAAGAAAATCTGAAAGACTTCAGAGATGTATGCACTCATTTTAAATCTTATGAGTAATTATTTTGAAAACCCAAACAGATCATGACTTACAGTGTTCAAGAGAAGCTTCAAAAAAATTTATATTTGTGTATGAAATGATGAATATTGATGGCCATAGTGCGAAACCTCGTATCCTGGCTTGCAATGTTGCAGACTTGTTGTCACTTCGTTTTTTTTTTTTGGAAATCTACTTGCCTCAACCTCTTAAAAATTTTCTGGATTCTTCCTCTCTGCCAGCAGAATATTCTGAATCAATCTCTAACTATAGGTTTGACTTGTTTCTCTTCGGAATAATAAAATAAGAACAGAAATTTTGAAGCACTGCAATGGAGGTACATGGTTTTGTACTTGAGACATTGAATGATGTTCATCTCAATTTTTAATAATTTAACGGAACTGTGCTGCTGCTAGTAAGTTCAAATTATAGATTTGCCCAAGAGATAGACTTAAATTGTTTTGACTTGGGACCTCACAGTGAGAGAAAAAAAGGAGATTTCTATATTTGGCCTGTTTAGTTCTTTTACTTATGAAACAGAAAGTAAAGAAGTGGAATTTGAATTTCTCTTCATTATTTGATTAGATTTGATCCAATGAATTGTATTTTATTTAACCTCAGTGTATTAACTTAAGTTCCAGTAATTTTTTTACCTCCGGCTCATGGATATTACTATATGGGTTATTCTTTTTTTGCAGAAATTTCGTATCGACATTGTGAAGTATGACCATGAAAAGTTTGAATTTGATATGATTGGTATTCCCCCAGCCATTGCAAATGCTGTTAGAAGAGTGCTGATTTCTGATGTAAGTAGTGTTTTCTTACCCTTTTTGAAAATCACAAATATAGTTTTAATTCATCTAAATAGAGTAATAGTAATGATCATATAATAACAGGGTGTCTAGCATCAGAATTTTCCCAATTTCATCAGGATTTGAGGGAAAATTGGTCCTAAAATCAAGATTTGAGAAAATTCGGCTGTCTCCTCATTTTCAGTTAATTATCCACTATCTGTTCGCTATTGTTTCTTCACTAAAAATCAGGATTTGGAAAAATTATGCAATCAAGATTTAGCAGTTAGAAGTTAGGATTTCCCAAAATGAAAAAAAAAAAAACTTGACATCCTGAATAATGTTATGACCATAATGACTTATAGATTAGCAACAAATTATTGGATCTTCATAAGCACCAAGTTCCTGCGTCCAATACTGAACATTTGAAAGCTGCAAAATTCCTATTACATTACAAGCATAATAGAGTGCATCCCAAGACGCTTTTGAGTTCTCTTTTCAAGTTTTCAGAAAATGTTATTTGCTACTTAATCAGCTGGTACATCTTTGAGTTTCAAGGGAAAATATTTGTGACTTTCTTCCAAAATAAATATCACATCTAAGAAAATAGAGTAGCATAAGTACCCTTTTTTCTACCTGCGCAGGATACGAAAGTTAGTATCCTTCGTGTACAGCAAAAAACGCAAAGTTATCTGAAGTAGGCTTTAGAGCTACAAATATGAATACTTATAATTGAAGGTTGCTGAGTAATGGGGGAAATACTGTGGGAGTACACAATCTTGCTGAATGCATATCAGTCACACACTTAAAAATAATTTTCATCAGCTATGTGTATTTTTCTCCTCTAAAAGGCCGGTAGGTTATGAAGGATGAAGTGAGGTCTGAAAGCAATATTTATAAATCAGATTTTTTGCCCACACTGAACTCTCCTCAAGTTATTTTCTCACTCGCATTGTAAAAAATCCGTGCTTGAAAAAACTGGCTGGTACCTCGTCGAAAATTCCAAGACATTAATTGACTGCCAAAAATAAATCTCAATCACATAAATTTTTCTGTTCTGGCCCACTACTAGTTGGTGGAGAAGGCACCTAAGCATAAATTAAATAAAAATATTAACTAACTTACTCAGTCTCAGTGGTGTAGTGGTAAAGGCAGTTCGCTGCCAACACTGAGGTCCCAGGTTCAATCCTTGGAGATGACGGATTTTTGAGGACCGTGACCGTGGATGACTATGCCACTCCAATACCCCGACCCTCTGAGGTAACAGGGTGCGGGAGGGACATAGTCATACTGTAAGTAATCTGTCTGCATTGTTTGACTGGGCTGTGAAAAATCGGTGATCACTCGCAGTGTGCGCGACTGCCAGTGCTACCTATCAGTGGAGTTTGTAACAACACAGTCCTACTCGATGGAGGTATGGCCGTGCGCCGAAAATCCATGCTCTGCAGCGTCTGCCGCAGTCTGTGATAAGATGTACTGTTGGCTATCAGACGGCCGCGGAGCCTTGCGGGAATATAGAAGTTACACAATGTGTCAATAGCACTAAGTTAAGGAGCACAGTCCAACTTCGGGCTGCACAACAGCAGTTGCCAGTTGCCTTGGCCCCTTTAGGGCGCCTCGCCGGTCAGCCCGGCCTTACTTACTATTCATTAACTTAATCCCACCATGGCACTATAGCAGCTGTTTTGTGGTTCCCATTTGCTTCTTTTCTTTCTTTTATTATCTTGAGTTTGCTGATATCTTGTCATGTTATAGATTTAACTCACTTTCCTCTGTTTACTTTCAGGTGCCCACCATGGCTATCGATAGGGTTCATATGCTCAACAACACATCATTAATGCAAGATGAAGTGTTAGCTCACCGCTTAGGTTTAATACCTTTGAAAGCTGATCCTAGGCTGTTCGAATACAGAACTGAAGGTGTGTGAATTACACCTTTGTCTCCTCATATAAGCATGATATCATTAATGTTTGAGGCGGTAGCATTTGTAAGGATGTTCTCACCTAACCTCAGTGGTAGTATGTAGTAACTTGGAATGCTGGTAACACAGAGCCAAGTTGGGGGAGAAACTGACTGAGAAAATTCAAGAAATTTTTATGATTGTCCGAGATTTTTTGTAAGGAATGAAGGTGTCCAGTTTTTTTAAATATCTTCCTATTAACTCATATCCATGGTGAAATTACCAGACCATGTATTTTGTTTGCGGAGTTTACAAAGCTCTGCTCCCATTTTATTTGTTGTTGGTGAACAAATCAATATCATTTCCTGACATTTCCAGAGTTTTCTTCGCATGAAAAAGAAAGAACACGAAAGTTTTCAAAAATGGGCCTGTCGCAAACTTTTGCTAGAGCAAAAATAAGATTTGTTTCCTATAGATAAAGATAATGCCTCAAAAATCACGATGAGTCTTCGGCAAAGTCTGAAATGCACTCATAACTTCACAATCTGCGTAAAAAATTTGCGGTTTTTTTTTTGAGCTTCCTGCTCACACGATCTCCCCGAGCTTCCCAATACAACGGCACAGGTGAACATTTTGTTAGAGGAGTCTCTCCATCATCAGCAATATTCATCATGGCGGATGCTTCCGCAGTTCTGCGCGTAATTCGAGTAGAGTTCACAGTCAATCAAGGCGGGCGAGGAAAATATGAATGTAAACACGCCGATTGTTATATGGTCTCATCCTGGTTGGGTGTAATCTCGTCCCATCAGACGTGTTTTGGTGGATTGTCGTCGGCCATGATAAATATTGCCGACGATGGAACGACTTCTCTAACAAAATATTCACCTAAGTCGTAGTATCGCTTTTGAAGCGGGAAGCCAAAAAAAAAAACAAATTTCTTATGCAGATTGTGAAGTTATGAGTGCATTTCAGACTGTGCCGATTCGCTCATTGTTATTTTTAAGGCATTATTTATAAGAAACAACTCTTACTTTTCCTCTGGTGAAAGTTTGTAACAGGCCCATTGATGTTGAGTAGTTTGCCGTTTAGAAAATGAAGTACGACAGGAAGTCTACAACTTCGAAAACTGAGATACATTGTCTGGTAGTTTCACCGCTGATATAGTGAATCAAATTGTAACATGGACTCTGAGAAGTTTTATAATATATTATTGTCAGGGCTCGGGTCATAATGGAAAGAGTGCCTTTTGATTTAAATTTATCAATTTTTAATGTCTTGCTTTTTACATTATCAAGCTACCCATCCATTATTTTTGTCATAGTCTCGATTTTATGAAGAATTTTTAATTTTTCAGAAGAGAGTGAAGGCACTGACCAAGATTCCCTCCAGTTTGAATTAAAAATAAAGTGTAGTCGAAATGCTGCAGCGGGAAATGACAAAACCTTACCCGATGATTTGTATGTTGATCACAAAGGTAAGACATTTTTTGTTTCTTTTTAGCATCATTGGTTTCAAGCTTTATCTCTTTATTTACTTGCTCTTGAAGATCCCAAGATGAATGTATACTTGCTCTTGAAGATCCCAAAATGAATGTATAAAAAGATCCAAGCAAGTGTTTGATACCTATGATAGTGAGATACCCGGCCTTCCTGGAAGAAAGCATTTTTTTGTTTTCAAAATTAATTTTTCAGTTATCAACATATGTTGACTATGAATCTAAAACTTTATTTCTAGGACCTAAAAATGCTCTAATGTTTATGGGAAACAGAGAATGGGCCACCAAAAAAGGTATAAGTTAAAGCACACTGTAACATGTTTCCTCTTCAAAATTACTGAAGTAAAAGTATGGAAAACAACTTCTAAATTAGGTACAGGTGTTTACAGTTAACATTGGTTAAATGACAAAAATGCAACTGGCGTCATTTGTATAGTCTACCTTCTATCTGATCTGTGTTCATAATAGTTGTTAATATCTTATTTAGGAATTGATTTCCGAACTTCTCGTTTTGTGAACTGTTGTTCACGTAAAATTTTGAAGAGGATATATGGAACGTTTTCTTCTAGCTCAGACTTTATCCAGTTGCCCATGCAAATCATGTAATCAGGGTTCACAATCAGGAATTTATTTTCTTTCTGCTTTAAAACCTTTCTATTTCAAATTTTTACAGCCCTTGCTTACGGAGGGCTGAAAAAGTAGCTTGCTCATGAAAAATTGATTACCTTGCCTGCAAATTCAAAAGAAAAATCTAGCTTTTCCCAAAAGGTCCCAGGGGAATCCGAGAAACCTTGAGGTTCTCATCAAGGAACAAAAAAATAAAAAAATTGCACACGCCATGATCAAATATTTTCTTAAAGGAAAAAAGGTAAAGTAACAAACACACTAAGTGAAAAAAAAAAAACACTAAGTAGTTGTAATTTTCACTCAATGTACAATTAGGAAAGCCTGTAAAATCAATTTCTACAGGGTTGCCAGAGACTGGGAATTTTAAAAAGTCAGGGAGAACCTGGAAATGTCAGGGGACATGACAATAGTGTCAGCGAAAAATTTCGAAATCACCTTTATTTGTTTTCTGGGATGGATATGACATTTCAAGTAACGAATATTGCGTGAAAACGATTTCATTTTATTATGTGTATTTTGGCTGATTAATTTGCTTTTCATTCAATTCCTCAGATGTTCAGAAATCGATTCTTGGTCAGGTGCACATTGTTGCACAGGAAATTGTTGACATAAATTTCTTAGTGGGAAGATTCTATCGTGAAATAGAAAATGTAACCATGTTTGAAACTGTTTTATCCACTTTTTCAGTTTATTCAAAACACCTCAAGTGGATACCAATCGGAGGACAAGAGGATCTTTACAAAGAAGAAGAAATTGGACCCATTCATGACGATATTTTGATTATGAAACTTCGGCCAGGCCATGAAATCGAGTTGAGAGCGTTTGCATACAAAGGGGTAGGGAGAGATCATGCCAAATTCTCGCCAGTTGGTAAGTATTATCTCAAAGTGTAGCAAGTTTATTTTTATTGCCTAATGTATGTCGTCAGGAATAAAATGGCTTTGCCTACAACTTTTCAAATATGTAATGCATTCCGGGTTTCCAAATGGAAGTTTCGTTCAAAGGTTAGAGAAAGTCAGGAAATTTGAAAATGAAAAATCTTCATTATTCTTGATTTGTTTTTCCGATCAAGTCCTTGGCATATTACATATATCGGAAATGTACCTAAAACTTCCAAAACTTCAAAATTTGGGGTCTGAGCTCCTAGAAATATATTTTCGTGTAATTTCTTGATCAGAGCATCATATTAAAGGATAGCCTACCTTTCATGAATTTAAAGTTTCTTGGTCGTTCTTCAATTTGTTCTGCGGAGTTTCCGATTAATTTTTTTTTCTTTTTCCTAAAATTCTGGTACCTTTTCATTATTACTGAAAGTATTATCCATTTAAGGAAATGTCTTCAATGTTTTGGCTTCCTGAACCGTACCAAATAATCCCTCTTCTCTTCTTGATGTTTGCAGCAACTGCTCATTACAGACAATTACCAGAAATCAGAATTCTAAGGTCTGTGGCAGGAGAGAAGGCTCGGAGACTTGCCACCTGCTTCTCACCAGGAGTCATTGGTATCAAAAAGAATAAAGAAGGTAGGTGTCATAATGTTTAATGGTGCCATTCATTGCTTATACCATGAGTATATTTACTCTATGTAGCAGCATTGCACTGAAATTGCACTGCTCACAAAATTTCAAGTTTCCATCTCAATGTGTTCACAAGTTACAGAAGGTGTTGTCTGCTGCTGGTGGTGCGAGATTTTAACATCACCCAGTATAACTCTTATAGTTTTTAAATAGGTCATACGTAGCATCCTAGGGAGGATTTTGCTTGAAAACATGGTAGGTTTAATTCCATGGAACATGAAAGATGTAGCGTGAAAAGAAAGCTGAATGAAAGAAAACTCATATTGTGCAGTTTGATAAATATAAGATAAAATTTAACTTTAGTTGATAGCTTCCACCAGTTAAAAGTGACATGTTTTACCGAAGTTTTTCTATGTTTATGTTCAGGGATGGAGGAAGCTTATGTCATTGATGCCAGGTACGACTCAAGTAGCAGAAACGTTTTCCGGTATGATGACTTGAAAGACTGCGTAGAAATGACTAGAGTGTCAGATCATTTTATCTGTAAGTTATCTACAGTTCACCCAAGTTTTTCACTAATTAAATCATTTTAAAACAAAATCAGAGCTTAGGTTCAGACCTCATCCTAGAAATTCATGTAGATAATTTTTGAATTTCAGTTCCTCCCACAATCGTTCAATCAAAATAATCAATTCAAATCTGTACCTGTGTATTCCAAGAAAAATCTCATTTTAAGGATTTGATTAGCATTCCTGTAAAGTATAATCTAATTCTTGATTCAAGCAATCAAATTTTGGCTTCGTGTGAGATCGAGTGTGCGAGAAATACTCAAAAATTGAGGAATAAGCTTTAGGAAGTTTTGACTATCCCCAAACAATGAATTTAGAACCATTATATCTGAAAGCATGAAAAACATTACCCTTTGTTAAACCTGCATGGCTTTTGGGGTCAATTTTATTCATTTATTGTTTTTTAGTACCTAATGAAAGTGTTCTTTAAATCATAACTTTTGTATTTTGCTCCAAGAAATTAACCATAAGATGACAGGCTCAACTGCATGATCCCAAACGTATTATGAATGTCGTAAGCAAATAGTCATGATTGTGTTCTTACTAACATTGAAATTATAATTCTGTCGCTAATTTTATACAAAACAATTATTCGATCATCTAGAAAGAAAAAAAAATTGTAAAAAGTGGCATCATATGATAGTAAATAAATTGGATCTAGTATCTTAACGAGCTTTAATCACGGTATTTTCAGAATTTCATAAAATATGTACAGAATTTCTAAATTGTTGACAGTTAAAATATATGAGGAGCATTCGAGGGTAAAATTCTAGAGGAGTTCGTAGATTTGATGGATCCCTACATTGAAAACTCTAGAGGTCTTGGTCAAAAACATACGAGACTTGGTAAACCGTCAACATTTGACTACTTGCCCAGGCATTTGGTAAAATGTTTGATTATACTATTTGGCTGAGACATACACATTTATCACTTATCTGTGACCAGGAGTCTACATTTCTGATGTGTTTTTCTCCCTGTAAGTTGGGTTTTTTTTCCAGAACATAAAAGAAAGAAAAAATAATAAGATCGGCTTTCTTGAGGATCTTGCATTTTATTCATAATTTTCTCCATTGATTTTGTTAAGTTTTTCAAAGCAACAGCAGTTTCTGTAACTTGTTTTCTTTTATGTCCTTTTTTTAGTCACTGTTGAATCCACTGGAGCTCTTTCTCCTGATATACTCTTCATCGAAGCTCTCAAAATGCTGAAAAAGAAATGCAAAGAGTTATCGGACCAGATACCATGATAGTATGTACGCCAAAATTTCCAATCCATTTGTTTTCTTGTTATGAAAAGCTTAATACATCCCCGTAATGGACGTGAGGCATCCCAAGATCCTGAGCTATCATCCAGGTGGAAAGAAAGAAGCTGTCAAGTATCTCTTTGAAATGTTACAATTACATAATAGCAAAACACTTGCTTTCTGATACTGAAGATCATATCTTTAAAGTATTCATATCAATGGCTAAGAAACAGTGCTGCTTACCTACAAACTGAAGGCTTCACTGGACGCAGAAAAAACCTCGAATTTTTTGCAGCTTTGAGATTAGTTTTGCAATTTATTTAATACATTAATGTGTCATTGCAGCGCTCTCATGCAAAATTGGAAAAAAATATGAACCTCAGCTTGCTTATTTTATACTGTAGAATGCGGCAAAGTAGGTAACTCATTTTAGCCAAAATTGCCAGTTAAGCGGTATTGGTCCTTAGCCATTGACACAATGCTCATTTTTAGGCATATCATTCATACGATACTTATACATGCTGAGCAAAATCTTCAAAACTGAGAATTCGAAATTCTACAAATTTCAGTTCAGAAACTGAAGTTTACCAAGTTTAACAGCACATATCAGGTCCTGAAGAATTTTGTTTGAGTCCGGCATTAATTGTTTTTCTTCTCAACCTGTATCATCATACACCACAATGTATGAAACTGTGGGTTTTTTCTATTTCTAGTGTAAAACATCTTGATCTACAAGATTTTTGATGTTTCAGAAATGTAGCATTAATTGCACATGGTTGATGGTCATGGGTGGAAAAATTAAACATTTCCACATAATTTGAAGTGTGCACTTAATTTTGTGATATTCATGTTTGAATTGTTGATTATAAGTGGTGTAGAAATGTAAGTAGCCATGCTTGTGGAATGCAAAGAATACTCAGAGGCACGCTTGGAGGCACGCTTCACAAGAAGATCAGGAACACATATTTCAGAGTCTGCCTCTTATGGTGTAGTGGTTGTAGTGCTAGCTCTATGATCGTGAGGTCTCGGGTTCAATTCCCGGCTAGGCAACCCGAGTTTGATGGTCTCGAACAATGGTTGCCTGAGATTTCTTGGTAGGGACGGAGGGGGGTGGGACTAAAAGCGCAGTATTAGCCCTTGTGGACTATTTGAAGTACAGTGAAAGCTCGCTAAGTCGAATTGTGTAGGGACAGACTAAAAATTCGACTTAAGCGACAATTCGTCTTAACCGTACTCTACCAAACTTATGGACGTCTCCAGGGACCGAAAAAAACTTTGACTTAATCGGTATTTTGTCTTAACCGTAGTTCGACTTAGCGAGCTTTTACTGTAGTAAAAAAAGAAGAATTCAAACCCTCGCGTGATTGGTAATGATTGACGTCATTAGAAAGACATTCAACCTGAACCTTGCAGACTTTGTCCTGCTCTTCATGTTTCTTCCCATCTTCACAAACAGAGACGGTACTCTTTTTTTCACCATAACTAGTTATTAACCCAGTTTCATATGCGCAAGAGGATGAGGCTGTTTTTTCTTTAACAAGTGACTCTCCTCCAACAGTAGATAGTAAAAACTCTCAAGTTTGGAGTTAGCAATGTCAAGAACAACATTGGTCACATTAAGAATTGAATTCAATAAATTACATAAATGAAATAAATCAAGGTAGAAAAGTATTGTATTGATAGAACCCTTTCTTAGAGCTGAATAAAAAAAGCTTTGAAACTTTCAAAGTTTCAGTTATTATCGAGTTGGAGCTATTCAGAGAAGACTAAACTTAGGAAAAATGGTTGTTTCACCAACTTTTTGCAATACATTCCTGCATCCATGCTAAAGATGCGGAAACAAATTAGGAAGAGAAACACAGGAATTCATCACTATACTTAGTAGCAACATTATTTTGATAATTTTCGCTCCTGGCAATTAGCAGATTGGCATCAGGTGACATACCCACAAATCGGAATTTATTGCTACTTTATTGCAACAATGTAGCAATGATTTCTGCGCTTTCAAATGAGAGCCTAGGCAATATGCATGGCAAATATAATATTGCAATATTTCTACCCTTTTATGTCTATCTATAGCTATCTTTGCCACTCGGGATGCGGTTACATTTAACTTCATCCCAAATTTTTTTTTCTTGAAATTAGTAAGTACAGTGGAGCCCATATGTAACGAAGTTCATGGTTCCCAGAACAACTTCGTTTTATCCGGAACTTCGTTAAAAGCGGACTCGGGGGAAAAAATCGGGAAAAATTACACCGAAAAAATCACAGGCAAATTTAGGAAAATTCAATGCATGTGTATTTAGGTCAAGAGTACATAATCATCATTCAAACTCTCTTGAAAAAAGCGTCGATCGATTTTTGAAAGGCAGGCATTTTTGATAAAGTCGTCTTCGACTTTGCCGAGCAAGTCCAGCGATCCTCTGAGGCCGGTCGCAAGCGCATACTGCCGCGCCTGCTACAAAGCTTGCAACGCTGCACTAAGCGTGGGAGGTGCTCTCTCGTCTTCCCCCTCACCGTCGCTTTCACATGAGTCATCGTCGGCGTCCGTGTCAGGTGGCGAAACGAGGGACTCTTCAATTGTCGGAGCACAAATGTTGGGTCCAAATCCTCCAAATCAATACCAATATCAAGTAGATCAATCAGGAGAATTGTCAGCAACGGATTACTGTCACAGAACTCACGAAATTGGTATCAATTTTATTAAAAATCTAATACCATGTAAGAGAGACAACGGAACGAAAAGTTCAATAAAAATAAATTGAACATTTTAGCTAAACTCTTCAATTTTTGTCAAAGAAATAGCATTTTCCAAAGTATAGGCGTCTGCTCATCCCACCCATTCCAATTCTCTTTTTTTCTCTCAAAAATTAATATTGATATCGGGACAAATCAATCAATAATATCCAGTATAGCAGAGTTAAGAGGTAAGCTCCATACACTTAGATGACGGAAAGGGTAAGTTTTAATGCGAAACAGTATTTAAAATACTGTTGCGTACGCAGCGGAAATCCAAACTGCTTAAAAAACGGACTCCAGCTCCAAAAGGATCCAGCAGCTCCAGCTTCAGAGTCAGAGTTTTTTTTTACCTAACTCATTTTTATTGTATTAAAATACAACTTTGAAACGTTCACAGGCAGCTTGAACGCTCGAAATGGGAAGAAATGTTTGAGTCTACATCCAAGCGGATAAAGCTCATTCTTACACAGTAGTAAAAATGTTTCTTTTTTTTTTTTTTTTTTAGAGTTCGAATTTTCTGTACACGATTCACTCCGATGGTAATGGTTTTTTTTTTTAATATTTCACGAGGATAAATAAATTTTAGAAGTCAGTTCAATTTTTTTGCGGCAAATTACGCAGTCTTGTACTGTCATCGCGCACTCAGTACAAGTAGCTAAATGTTTAGAAGGGAAAAAAACGATGTTTCTTTCTTTGTCCATACATTTTCCGGAATCCCTCCAGCCCTCCCCCCCCCCCC